TATTTCAAAAAACTTCATTTATTTTAATGTATGCCAAAGTATTCACTCCATTCCAATATTTTGGCCAGGGGAAATATAAAGGAACTTCACTTTATAAAGTACAGAAATTCATAGATAATAAAATCACAGGCCAAAGCTCTAAGTTGACTGCATTTTTTCTTTTGGGTTCAACCTGGACCTAAGTGTTCCCAGCACAGAGGGATATACACGATTTTAATCAAGTAGTGACATGCACCGCTAGAAGAACAGAGAAGAAGGAATGTCTAACCCCAAGGATGGCTGAGAGAAAGTTTCCACTTTCCAATTATGTCTAGAGCAACTTGGTAGGTCAACCCTTTATTTCTAATTGCTATTTGAGTGAATTTTAGTTCCAGGTTTCACAACTCCTCAACTCATTCACAAGGCAGTGAACAAACAACAAATTAAGAGAATAAAGAAATAAACAAGACAACACAAAAAATGTACAAGTCTTACATGAATAAAGTACTACAAACCCCAACGAAGCATGTGTGAAAAATCAATAATATGAACCTCAGACAGATATTCTGCAGATAAGGTTATGCAGTCAACTGAACACAGTTCTACACTATGACAGATCAATTCCCAAAACATAAATGTTATCTTTAAACACTTAAAATTTGGGACTGTTGCAAGACCCTCAGTAGTTCTAATGCCCTTTTTGGCATTGACTAACATCAAGCTCGCTCTTTAGTTTTGCATCAACTTTGTGACCCCTTTCAAACAATGATTCAAAGAGGTGTATCTAGATGCCTTTCAGCATTATCCAAATGGGAATATGATTCAACAACTATTACCTTTGTGCCCATATATAAGAGCCTTTTAGAAATTTGATTTTCCCTTTTCACAAGGCATTCAAATTGTCTCCTGCATTAATTTTTCTTTAAATTATTTACTTTATAATTTGCATAGTCAATAAAGAATAAAAGTTATAGATTGATAAGATAAATTCATTCTCTCTCTTGTGCAGATGTGAAAAGATGAAAAGCGCACATTAATCAACTAGGAGAACAGAATGAGATGAGGAGGTCCAATTATCTTAAGGGGTAATTTCGAAAAGTAATAAAAAATGTTAACATATATAATGTCATTCATTGGTTAAAAGTAGTATATATATGGCGACAGAGATAGTATTACGACATTGGTTAATTTGACTCCTTCAACAGCTTGTGAATGCTGTGCATATGAGCATACTAAAATCTAGCTTTAATAATAAAAAGTGCCACACTGCTCCAATATTTTCACATCTACAGAAAAATTCTTTGGTTTGGAGGAGTATACTAGACGCACTCAATTCATAACAAAAAATTACTAGTTGACTTTGGCAATCAAGAACATATATGATGAATATGGCCAGCACCTCATTAACCTTTTTTATATAGTATTGTAATGTAGCAGTTTCAAAAATAAAAAGTTGTGGTGTCACATTTCTGCTTGTGCAAGATTTCGTTTGAAGCATCTAGAAGCTGCTTTATCTAGAAAGTACAGAAACTATTTTAGTCTAGAGAGCATTCTTCCTAATTGATCAAATGCAGAAAAATCAATGAAGGGCTCTTCTGATTCCAAAAAAAAAATCCAGATAGAACAAAAAAAAAGTTTTAATTTTGATCTTCAGATGTATGTATGTCTTTTTCTTTGCATACACTTATAAAAGATAATATCAATACCTTCTATCTGGGCCACCCCCCATAGCAACTGTATCACTAACTGTAAGAATAGCCACTCTGACTTCAGCATCCCCTGA